GTACACACTCATATATTATGTTAACAAAAACTTTTATTTTGAATGCGATTAATCGCGATTAATCGTTTGACAGCACTAATATATGTATATATATTAACATGGACATGTGTCCATGTGTACATAATTCCTTTAGGAAATCTGCTACTAAAACAGACACACATTGAAATAAATGACATTATCAGCAGCTGCAATTCATTGTTGCTGTATCTCCCCAGAGAGATTTATACAGTGTGTGCTGTATGAGTCTTTGTTCATTTTATTGAACCACTGTATTGAAAAGAATTACACGGAGACAATAAAAGTCCCCAAGATAATTCATTTTTGTATTTCAGGATCCCTTGAAATCAAAGGCAAGAGTATTTCTCTCTTCTTTTTTTTTTAAACCTTTTTTAAGATGCGAACAATGACATTTAATTTTCTGCCGTTATAGAGGCCTGACCCTTTCTGCCCCGATCCACTGTTTCTTTTATTTATTCATTTTTCAAGACGATGTATGTCATGAATTTTAATTCGGAAGATAAGATCGTGTTGGGTACTTTCAGTTAGTACAGAATAATGGCGCCTGAAGCCTTTTTCATGCCAGTGAGTCTGTACTTTTTTTAAATAGAAATATACTTGTATATTTTTGTCAGGGCAAACTTTGCTGATAGCGCTCTGGATATTTTCTGTCAGTCTGTGTTGAGTTACGCCTCATTTTTAGCAGGGAACATTTGTTATCTCCACAAAATTGTCATGTTTTTGACTCGGAGGCTATTATTTTTTTCTTGTTATATCCCTTTTTCTTATGAAATGTTTTCTCGCTACCTCTTTGTGATATTCCTTTTTCCATTTTCTTTTGTCTTTTTTGTGTTTCTGTGTCAGAATAAAATGAATTACAGAATGAAAGGCTCGTGATGTGGCATAAGCAGTCGGCGTAGATACTTCATGCACTGTAGAGAGGAAAACACATTCATAATTGATCAGAAAACAGCTTCTGTTTGTAGATAATTTCGCTCTGAACAAAAACTGCTCTATTAAATGCATTGTTTGGTTGATGAACTTGCATGTCAAAAAGTACACAGTTCACTTCTGTCTGCTTCATATTTACTGCATTAAGCTCCAGTTATTCATCACATGGGCTTGTACATAAACCCTTGTACATACAGTACCGGTCAAAAGTGTAAGTTTAATGTTTTTGAAATGAGTCTCTTCTCAAAAATACAGTAAAATCCTGTAATATTTTGAAATATTATTACAATTTAAAATACCTGTGTTCTATCTAAATATATTTTAAAATGTAATTTATTTCTGTGATGCAAAGCTGAATTTTCAGTATCATTACGCCAGTCTTAAGTGCCACATGATCCTTCAGAAATCATTCTAATATGCTGTTTCGCTGATAAAGAATTATTATTAATGTTGAAAAGTTGTCCTGCTTCATATTTTTGTGGAAACTATGATACACTGCCATACATTTGGGGTAAGTAAGATTTATATAAATTAAAGAAGGAAATTATTACTTTAATTCAGCAAGGACGCATTAAAGGGTTAGTTTATCCAAAAATTCTGTCATTAATGACTCACCCTCATGTTGTTCCAAACCCGTATTACCTCCGTTCATCTTCGGAACACAAATTAAGATATTTTTGATGCATCCCGAGCATGGCCGTAGCCAGGCTTTGAAAATTAGTGAAGTCCAGGGGGTTTCTATAATAACCCCCTTATTATAGAATTGTGCTATAATAACCCTTAAAAATACAACTAATTATATACACTATTAACACTTTAAAAGAGACGGAAAACATCTTTTTACAAACATCTACATTTCTCTGTTTTGGAGGGATGATCATTTTTAAATCATGTTTCGCTGATAAAGAATTATTATTAATGTTGAAAAGTTGTCCTGCTTCATATTTTTGTGGAAACTATGATACACTGCCATACATTTGGGGTAAGTAAGATTTATATAAATTAAAGAAGGAAATTATTACTTTAATTCAGCAAGGACGCATTAAAGGGTTAGTTTATCCAAAAATTCTGTCATTAATGACTCACCCTCATGTTGTTCCAAACCCGTATTACCTCCGTTCATCTTCGGAACACAAATTAAGATATTTTTGATGCATCCCGAGCATGGCCGTAGCCAGGCTTTGAAAATTAGTGAAGTCCAGGGGGTTTCTATAATAACCCCCTTATTATAGAATTGTGCTATAATAACCCTTAAAAATACAACTAATTATATACACTATTAACACTTTAAAAGAGACGGAAAACATCTTTTTACAAACATCTACATTTCTCTGTTTTGGAGGGATGATCATTTTTAAATCATACCCTATTTATTGCATCAAAATGTGTTAATACTTTACTATATTTATTATTCATGCAACCATACATTTTGCTGTTATAGTTTTTATTTATAACCATTATATAGCTGATAACTTTGTCTAGTGCTCTTATGAATGTTTATATAGCATGATTTGTGAAAATGTAACTAATATACTGAATGACTTAGCAGAGACTTCTTCATGGCTAGTGTTTGCGTATTTCATTTCATTCTGTAACCTACTTGTTCTACAGATATCTGCACTAGTGTTAAATGCTACAGAGTTTGACAGCGTTGATAACATTTCTGACAGATAATATCATGATTTTATTTGCATTGTCCTTACCGAATGTCGTACCTTGACAGCAATAACCTGTCCATGGACTTTTTTGGTTTTTGCCAGTTTAAGTGCCGACGATGCAGTGTTGCCAGATATTGCTATTAAAATAAACAAAATAAATAAATAAATTAAAATAAACCGAAATTATTTCAAATCTTTTGCAAATTAGATAAGATAAAGATATCGCTGACCCTAAACCGCAACGTCCTACTTTATTAACTTTCTAAAGTGTCAAATTAAGTGGAAAAGACAAGTAAAAAAAACACTTATTATAGCTGGATCAACACGGAGGTTGCGCCCGCGCCCGCGCCCGCGCCCGCGCCCTCACTCACAACTCTCTCAAGATCTCGCAGTGATCATTTTTATACCACAGACGCTAAACATTCTGAATTAAACTGAATTATACATGCAGACATTCATATGTGTTGCCAGATATTGCTATTAAAATAAACAAAATAAATAAATAAATTAAAATAAACCGAAATTATTTCAAATCTTTTGCAAATTAGATAAGATAAAGATATCGCTGACCCTAAACCGCAACGTCCTACTTTATTAACTTTCTAAAGTGTCAAATTAAGTGGAAAAGACAAGTAAAAAAAAACACTTCTTATAGCTGGATCAACACGGAGGTTGCGCCCGCGCCCGCGCCCTCACTCACAACTCTCTCAAGATCTCGCAGTGATCATTTTTATACCACAGACGCTAAACATTCTGAATTAAACTGAATTATACATGCAGACATTCATATGAGGAGTTTAACAGCAAGTTAGTCATTCAGGGAACAAATGTTATTTTTGAACATGAAAAATTTACCGAGGTCCGGACCTTATAGCTGGCTACGGCCCTGATCCCGAGAGCTCTCTGACCCTCCCATAGACATCAAGAATCCTTACACGATCAAGGCTCAGAAATGTAGCAAGGAGATCGGTAAAATAATCCATGTGACATCAGAGGTTCAACCGTAATTTTACGAAGCTACGAGAATACTTTTTTTGTGCGAAAGAAAAAAAATAACGACTTTATTCAAATTCGTCTCCTCCACGTTACCCTGGTGCCCTGATCCCGAGAGCTCTCTGACCCTCCCATAGACATCAAGAATCCTTACACGATCAAGGCTCAGAAATGTAGCAAGGAGATCGGTAAAATAATCCATGTGACATCAGAGGTTCAACCGTAATTTTACGAAGCTACGAGAATACTTTTTTTGTGCGAAAGGAAAAAAATAACGACTTTATTCAAACCACGTCACCCTGGTGCCATTTTGGAGAATATCCACAGAACGTAAACCGTTCAGATATAAACCGTTGGCGCAGCTGATTCAGGACAGCAAACGCCAACGGTTTATATCTGAACGGTTTACGTTCAGTGGATATTCTCCAAAATGGCGCTATAGAGTGACGTGGAGGAGACAAATTTGAATAAAGTCGTTTTTTTTGTTTTTTCGCGCACGAAAAGTATTCTCGTAGCTTCGTAAAATTACGGTTGAACCCCTGATGTCACATTTTACACATTTATTATTTTACCGATCTCCTTGCTACGTTTCTGGCCCTTGATCGTGTAAGAATCCTATGGGAGGGTCAGAGAGATTTCAGATTCCATCAAAAATATCTTAATTTGTGTTCCGAAGATGAACGGAGGTCTTACGGGTTTGGAACATCATGAGGGTGAGTAAGTAATGACCGAATTTTCATTTTTGGGTGAACTATCCCTTTAAATTGATCAAAAGTGACAGTAATTACATTTATAATGTTACAAAAGATTTCTATTGAGCTTTCTATTATCCCTTCATATATTTGGTTTCCACAAAAATATGGAGCACCACAAATGTTTTTAACATTAATTATAATTAATCAGAAATGTTTCTCAAGCAGCAAATCAGCATCTTAGAATGATTTCTGAAGGATCATGTGACACTGAAGACTGGAGTAATGATGATAAATTCAGCTTTGACTCTCAGAAATAAATGACATTTTAACATATATTCACATAGAAAACTGCAATTTTAAATTGTAATAATAATAATTGTGAAATAATAATATTTCACAATTTTACTGTTTTTACTGTATTTTTGATTCAATAAATGCAGCCTTACTGACGATATTTTTATATCTTCTTTCAAACATATTAAAAAAAATCTTTATTATTATTCAATCTTTTGACTGCTAGTGTAAATATGTTGACGGTCTCAGCTGGTTTTGCCTGGTCACCCATTATAACCCTCACAAACACCCAGCTTGCACCAGTAACAGAGCAGCTCAGTCCATCGTGCAGTGTAATCTGGTCCGATGTGTTGCTTTGAGCAGGTTATTTCTGTGAATGTCAAGGTGTTTGTTTCTCCGTGCGTCTCCGCAGGTGTCGCTGAGGTGATCGTGCTGGTGGGTGGGCGGCAGGTCATCGGTATGAACCAGCGCTCGCTGACAGCCGTCACTTGCTTCAACCCTCAGAACAACAAGTGGTACCCCCTGGCCAGCCTGCCTTTCTACAACCGCGAGTTCTTCTCCGTCATATCGGCGGGGGATAATATCTACCTGTCAGGTAATCAAGCCGACAGTGTGTCACTTGCAGTTTGGTGGCC